AAGAACAGTTAAACTCCCCTGAGGGACTCGGAAGGTCACTGGGTGGGAGGCCCCCTGGATTTTAAACGCGTTCTCAAGTAAAGTAAAACAAAGAAAGCCCCACAGGGTATGGTGGCCGCTTTCCTGGTCAGTCACAGTGGCCAGCTAAAAGGCAGGGAGGGCATAGCCCTGCTCGAGGCTGACCCTTCCTGCCCTTGCCCCCAGACGAAGGCCTTCATCCACCATGAGCTGCTGGCCTACCTGTACTCATCGGCGGACCAGAGCAGCCTCATGGAGGAGTCAGCCGACCAGGCCCAGCGGCGGGACGACATGCTGCGCATGTACCACGCACTCAAAGAGGCACTCAACATCATTGGAGACATCAGCACCAGCACTGTGTCTACACCCATGCCCCCGCCTGTCGACGACACCTGGCTCCAGACTACCAGCAGTCACAGGTCCGGGAGACCCGGGCACCCACTCCTCTGCGTGCCTGTCGGGGTCCTAGCAGGAAACAAGGCACAACCCAAGGGTGGGCAGGGTCCAGGGAACCCACCTCTGATGGTGGAGCGCAGGGCTAGCCACAGTGGGGGCGGCTCCCACCTGGGCCTGAAGGGACAAGGGGAAAGAATGGCTAAAGGTGCCGGGTCTGAGCTGGAGCTCGGAGCTACCCAGCAAAGTGGAGAGGAATGGTGAGTAAATGCCCTGACCCCCTCTCTTACCCTCCAGTCTTCTGGAGCTTTCCATTGGTTAAAGCCAGGGGGAAGCCAGAGGGCCAGGGACTGGGTTGGTGCTGGCCATAGGGGTCAGCCTCCTGGTGCAGGGCCGAGAATGGCAGGTGGGAGAGAGTCTGGAGGGCAAGGGAGGGTATAACCAGCACACCCCACCACCCCAGAGCTGCCGGGGGGAAACGAGACCCCAGCGAGGGTTGTTCAGAGCGTTGGGCAGGGACGCCTCCCCAGTAACAGTGCAGGTGGCAGGGGAATTAGTCAGGGAAATCTCGTAGAAGGTACTAGCCCACTGAGACCTCAGGGACGCACCAGTCCTTAGGGCAGGGGCACTGAGTCCAGGCACAGGGAAGCAGCAGGTGCTAAGGCCCTGAGGTGGGCCAGTGGGGAGGCTGCAGGCCTCTGGAGCCACTGGGGCTTGATTTGGAGGGCAGGGCTAAACTCTGGAAGATTCTTCAGCTGTGGAGGGTGGGCTCAGAGATAGGAGGTCGGGAGGACAGAGAGGGGCTAGTGAGTGTGGAGATGCCTTGCTGGGTAGGGATTGTGGCATGATGTCAGAGGCAAGCAGCCCTTGGCCCAGGGCAAGGGAGGGAGGTGCGGGGCCCTGGCTCAGGAGGGGGAGGAGGAGGGCCGTCCCTGAGCAGGTTTGGAAGAGGATACCTGCGCTGCGTTTGCCCAGGGCCAGGCATTCACCAGCATCTCCCTGGGTGGCAGCTGGAGCCAGCCCTGTTTAGCGAGGAGGTGGCCTTTAGAGCAGAGGTGACTGAGGCCAGCGCTGCATGGCCAGTGCGCCTGCCCCCCGCCCCGCCCCATCCCAGCTCATCCACCCTCTCCTTCCTCCACAGCCCCACTCCACAGCGCCGACCCGTGTCCAGTGTGCATCCGCCGGGCCGGCCCCCAGCAGTGCGAGGCCCTACTCCAGGGCCCCCCCTAATTCCCATACCAGTGGGGGCGGTAGGCTCCTTTGCGGCACCCCCCATCCCGTCCCGGCCTGGCCCCCAGAGCGTGTTTGCCAACAATGACCCCTTCTCGGCCCCGCCTCAGATCCCATCGAGGCCGGCTCGGATTCCACCCGGCATCCCACCCGGAGTGCCCAGGTAAGGCTGGATGCAGGCCCCTGCCTTGTGCCACACCCCAGCTGTGCCACTGGTGTCCTGGCCCCCATGTGACTCCCTCCCATTGAGCTCACCATGTGCACTCAAGTGTTGGGGGAGGCGCCTTATCATCCCCACTTGGCTGATGGGGAAAGAGGCCCAGAGAGGCCAAGTCACTGGACCAAAGTCAGGGCGCCAGTGACAGGTGATCACGGCTGACTTCAGGGCTCCCAGGCCCAGTCCTCTGCCTAAGTGCTGCAGCGGGAAGGGGTCATGCAGCTCAGGAAGACCTCACACTGGGCACCTTCTGGGTTTTACGGTGGTTTCCTTATTGAGTACAAACGGGCATCAGCTGTTGCACCACACCTACCTCTACCCCAGCACACCCTGTGGGCTAGGCTCTGTTCTCCCCACTTCTCCCTTGAGGATCCAGGAGTGCAGGCGACTCTCCCAGGGTCACACAGCAATCAGGTTAACGGCGGGGGGCCAATGCCTAGGTCTGAATGACTCCCCTAGCAGCCAGTGAGGCCTCGCATCCAGTATTGGGAGCACCTAGGGTGAGCTGATGGGCTTGGGTCCTCCTTGTTGTCCTGCTTCCGGCCTCACTGCCGTCTCCCCCTCCCCGTCTCTATTCTCTTTGCAGCAGAAGACCCCCTGCTGCACCCAGCCGGCCCACCATTATCCGCCCAGCCGAGCCATCCCTGCTCGACTAGGCTGCGGGGGAATGTCCTTGGGGGCCTTGCATACCCTTCATGCAGGAGCTTCGGTGGTCTGGGCCCCTCCGCCATCCTTGGCCCTCCCTGCCCCTGTGTGGGACCAGGTCCCCTGTGGGCAGCCTGTCTCTCCCCCAAGCCTAGCCCCAGTTAGGGGCTGGCCTGACCCCATTCCCAGCTGGGGGGAGCTGGGGTGTTGCACTTTGGGGGGTTGGGTCTCAGGGTAGCAGAGGAGGGAACTGTACCCTGGGTGCCATCTTGAGGAAGGGATCCAGGGGGTACTTGCCTGGAGGCTTCTTTGACAGGGGCTTTGAGGGCACCTGTCCCCGCTGGTCCACTTTGGGGCTTGGGGAGTGTCCACTTCTCATTAGGGTGAGGCCCTGTGAGCCCAGGCCCAGGGGGCCCAGAGCCCCTCTGTAGGCTGGAGTTGTACATATTCCTTCCTCAGCCGTATTAACTGCAGGACATGAGCCCGGCCCAGCCTCGGCTGCCGGAGGTGCCTTCGCCGACCCGGAACCCTCAGCCCAGCTGGCTTTGCTCTCCCCTCTCTCGGCCCGCCTCCACCTGGGTCCCCCAGGGTGGCGTGGGCTCAGGCTGTGTGTGGTTGGGGAGGCTTTGGAGGGTCTCTCTGGGTCCCACCCACGCCTGCCTCCTAGGGTGGAGTCCCGGGTGGCCTCTCTGAGCAGACCTTGCCTGCTCCTCGCTCAGTTTGACCACTGTAAGTGCCTGCACTCTGTATCCTATTAATAAACTAAAATAAAGGGAAGACGATTCTGGTGGCTGCTGTGTGGGCCTTCTGTGTGGATGTTCAGGCTGAGGACGTGGGGCAGCAGTCCCCATAGTAGGCCTGGGACACCCGTGTGTCTGTCCCACCATGGGCGTCTGTCTGCCCATTCCATGGGTGGGGAGGAGCTCCCTTCTTCTGGAGAGGAAACCAGGCTTTAGAGGGCAGAGCTTTTACTTTCCATAACACCTCAGGAGTGGGGAACACGAATAAGCACGCGCACGCACACACACCAGCTGCCCCTGGCACAGCGCCGATGTGGGGCCAGGATGTGATCTTGGGGTGGTGTCTCAATGGCTGAGGAGAAAAGGAATCCCTGCCTTCCACCCCAAACTTTAGCTGTGACTAGGCCCCTCCCTGTCCCACATTCCCAAAGACATTCCTAGGGCCCCCTGCTCCCTTTCTTGCCCTCTCAGGGGCCCAGGTCTGCTGGCCCAGCCGGGGTCACAGTCAAACTTTGCTTTCTGATTTGTTTTGTGCCCAGGCGACCACCTCCATCGGCTCCCGTCCGACCTTTCTTCTGAGCTTCGTGGGAGACCCCTCCCGTCTCCTGGTTGCCCCAAGCCTGGGGCCTCGGGGGCAGGTCTGTCCCAGTTGTTGTCCCTGAGCCCCAATCACCAGGCTTTGTGATTTCTGACCATAATTTATTGACTCTGGCACACAGGCCAGACCCTTTGTTCCTTGAGGATCCTGCGCAGGCTCTGGCCAGGCCACCCCTCAGTGCTGTGTGGAGCCCCTGCCGGGAGAGGGGGAGGGACGGGGGTCTTGTAGGCCCCCATCCCAGAACTCTTACTGCCGGACCTCACACCCTAGCCGCTCCTGCTGGGCTGAGGGGCGGGCACCTTGCTGCCTAATAAAGTGACTGTCCTGGCAAGAACACTGCAGCGGTGTCTCCTTCCTGCTCCTGGCAAGAGCAGGCCCCCGCGCCACCACCCGCCCCAGCATCAGCAGCCAGCCTCTGATAGGAAGACAAAGACAGGAAGAAGGCATGGAGTCCCACAGCAGTAGGCCCCTCTCACCACGACCTGGCTCAGAGCACCCAGGCCCAGGTGCAGAAAGGAAGGGAGGAGAGTTTGCCTGCATTAGCAGTACTGGTGCAGGCTGGAAGATGCAGGCTAAGGCACATTTATGATAGGGTCCAAGGCAGAGGCCAGAAAACCCAAGGCTTGTGTTCAGATGTTGCTGTGCCCACCATGCACGATTTCCAGGAAAGTAGGAGCAGCCCTGGAGGGCTGAGGCCTGCAAGCCAGCAGATTTTCCCTGTCCAGCCCCAGAAGTGAGGAGGCACACAGCGACCTCCCTTCAGTTGGGAACAAAGCTGGGGGAGGGATCCCCAAGTCTCACAATCACACACCCCTCTGCCTTCCTTTCCCCTAGTCTTTGTTCTGGGTAGGGCTTCGAACCAGTTCTGCCCAGTTCAGTCATGGCTGAGAAAGTGTCACCGGAAAAGACTTGAATTTTTAAAGTTACGGTGAACCAGAAAGATATCCAGAACGGGAAAAATTACAGGTTGAAGCCCGCTAGAAACTTAAATTGCCTGTTAGAGAACAAGGGCAGTGTACATGTTGCATAGCAACCAAATCTCTTGCCCTCAGATTTTGAGCACAGTTCAAAGCAGGGCTGCCCCACTCAAAGATGGCAGCCGACCGCACTGCTTTGAATGTGTGTCACTCTCCTACAGTCCTGCCAGTAATCCAGTCTCATGCATCAGACTCCTGAAAGGGCTCACTACACCTTCTTCTGAGCTGCTCATTCCAGTGCTTTGACCCATAATTTTTCCCGTTGCCGGGTACCGTGCCGAATCTGCCAAATTGTAAAACTTCAGGTCTGTTCCTATTTCACTTTGCTGGCCATGAACAAACCAGCTCAAACCGGTTTGATGCCCTGGTTCTGGGGTGGGGGCTACGTGGGCACAGGGCGCTTGTCCTGGAAGAAGCGCTTGAGCGTGCACACTTGCAACACAGCCACCAGCAGCAGCACAGCCACATTGACGGCCGACCAGAAGTTGACCCGCTCCAGGTTGCCCTCCTGCAGGTTGCGGTCGCGTGCCTCAAAGGCCCGCAGCAGTGTCAGCATCTGGATGCTGCGCTCCAACCGGGTCCTCATGGTCTCGATAGACTCCTGGGGGGGCAGAACAGGGAGCAAGGTCAGGCTGCTGCCCTTCGGGGAGCAGAGACCGATGAGACTGGGGGAGACAGGGAGAGTGACTGTGGTGGGGTGGGGGAGCAGGCTGCTGGGTCCAAATCCTCACTCTGCACTCCCTGGCTTTGTGACCACGAACAAGTTAATATACCTCTCTGGACCTCGATGTCTTCTCTACACCTCAGAAGTGCTGTGAGAATTAAATGCTGATATATATGTAAAGCACATATTAAGCACATATTTAGTAATGCTTAACAGGAAAGTCATTGGAGCCAGACTGCCTGGCTTCAAATATTGGCTCTGCTGCTTGCTAGTTGCTGTGGCCTTGGAAGAGTCAGCCATCCTGTGTCTCATTCTCTCCACCAGTGTAAAGTGGGGATGCGTAGAGCACAGGACCTACTTCATGGAGTGGTTATGGAGATGTCATGAGTTATTTAAGCCCTAGGAACAGGATTTTGCCCCTAGAAATGTGGGGTCGGGCCAAGGAGAGTGCCTCAGCTCAGGAAGAAGGGCAGAGATTGGGAGGAGTGGCTTGGGCACACCTTGATGTCCTCCATCTTGACATCCAGCATCTCCTCTGGCTCCACGGCATCAGGCCAGCCCAAGGTTTCAGCCCAGCCCTCAACCTCCTCGTCGTCCTGCAGGCTGTCGAAGATGAGTTCAAAGAACACCAGCTTCTCAGAGATAGTGCTGAAGGAGTTGTCAAAGCACAGCTTGTAGTCTCCAGCTTCTGTGGGCTCCACCCTGCGCAGAGACAGACACACAAACATGACTCTGAGCGGCTGCCCAGAGGGACTCCTGGGGCAGGCAGGGTGGTAACCCGAGGCACCCAGGGAGGGGCAGGGCTGTAACCGAACCCAGGCAGGCAGCAGGACTTCACTCACGTGTGCATCCCGTCTGCCTTGCGGGACTCGCTGACCAGCAACGTGCCCTGAGGGCTCTCCAGGGAGAAGTCCACGTCCAGCCCAGCACCACCGATCACCTGGGGGGCAGGTAAAAGCAGGTGGGGGTCTGGGGGTGAGTCCAGAGCACCTATCTAGAAAGGCCAGGCCTGGGCCAACTAGCACAGAACCAATACAGACCACCAAGGGCCTACCTGGCACAGACACTCCCGTCCCGCCCCCAGCCATCCCTCCAGCCGCACCGTGCCTCCACCCTCATTGATGACAGTTTTGGGATCTGCTCTTTCATCCCTGGGAGGTGCAAACGCCCTCTGCTGCTAACGGAAAGGTTGGTGGTTCTAGTCCACCCAGATGTGCCTCTACTTCCAAAAAGTCTGCCACTGAAAACCCTGTGGAGCACAGTTCTACTCTAACACACCATGGGGTGTCCATGAGTTAACGCGCTGAAGGCAACTGGCTGGTATTTTTCTTTCATCTGGTCACGCCCCCCTCGAAGGTCGTTGATTGATGTTTACCTAGTCACGCCCCAAACAACTACAGGGCCCTGCCGTCTTCCTTCAACCCACCCCCAGAAACCCTCATGTTGACCAGCCGTTTCTTCCAGCCTTCCTTTCAGCACTCAGGCCCACCAGCGTCCGTCATTTCATCCAACCCCTTTGGCCCTGCGCAATGAGGAGGGTCCTGCCCTCTGAAGGTCTTCCTCTCCTTCCCATTGGCCCCGCCCCCTCACTCGTTGGCCCTGCCCCCTCTGCCTGTCTTACTCTAGCTCCACCTTCATGACTCACATGCACTAGCCCCGCCCCCACTGGCTCGCGCACCCTAGCCCCGCCCACACGCTGTCACGCGCGGGCTCCTCCCCATTCCCTTTTTAATACACGTCTCGCCTTAGCGGCTTGGCCACGCCCCCTGTCTATTATTCCGCTCGCTCCCAGGTTCGGGAACCTCTACCTGGTACTCGGTCTCGAGGCTTGCGTTAGCCGGCGCGGACTGGTAGAAACACTGCTTCCTCCCCGCGGGCAACAGGAACGTGAACTCACCGTCCTGGATCGGCGGGGGCCCCGCCCATCCAACCCCCACTGGCGGCAGTAGTAGCCCTAGGGCCAGGGTTAGGGCCGCGCCGGCCGCCATCATCCGGGTCACCCTCCGGTCTGCTAACGGGTCGTGTCTCCTTTAAGGGCTAGCCCTGCCCTTCTGCTACTCAGTGAAGCTGATTGGCCGCTGCTTCTGCCCGTTGTCCGAAACCAGCGGAGCCGGGAGTGAAGGCCCACCTGAGTGTCCAGTTGTCCGAATGAGTGCCTGATGCGTCTGAAAACACTCAAACTCGTAGAGGCTTTTTTCTGGAAGAATTCCAGGCATAATCTGAATTGCTGGTGGGGGAAAATGATAAAAAATAAGTGCCATGTGGGTGGCCCATCCTTCTCAGTCAAAGGTTAAGACAACTAAGGCGGAGGCGGTCGGGTCCTTCTCAAGCACCGCCCTGTGGTTTTCCCAGAGTGCGCTACGCGGCGACTGTTGGGCGATCCAGGTTGGGCGGAGCGGGAACGACGTAGCGGCTGGGCATGGCCCTTTGCGCGACCTGTAGGATTCTTGTATAAAAGTGCTCTGTTGGCCCGGGGGGCGGGGAGAGGATTCTGTTATACTGAGTTGGGTTTCGTGCTGCTCTTGGTCTGTGAGCGTGGCTCCAGATTTGACGCCCGACCCCATCTCCCTTTGCGCCTTAGAACTATTTATCAGTTCTCTCGTCTGTAAATTGGGGGTCATGTAGTGACCACCCTATAGGAGAGCCGTGAGAATTGAGTGAGCTGAGGCCTGGCCCATAGTGAGCGCTGTGCTTTTCTTCATGAGTCGGTAGGGGGAGTGTGTCCCCACCCTCCATTCCAAAGATTTCCAACTCGAGGGCCAGGCTGATAAAGAGAGTGATTTAAGTGGCTCAGGGTAAGAAAAACAACAGCCAAGGTGCTTAGAGGCAGTAAGAGGAGAGATGGGAGTGTGGGCCGAGGAAGAAGGTTGCATGGGTTCAAACCCTGCCGCACGGTTTACTTGAGGCAGTACCTTGCTGAGCCTCAGTTCCCTCATCCCTAAAATGGGGATAATAATAGTTCTAACTCATTGAGTTGTATTAAACGAGAGAATGTCTGTCTAGTGCTTAACTTCAGTGCTTGGCACGTAGTAGGTCCTCAGTAAACACTGGATGTTATTTCCTGCCTGGTTTATCGCCTGTCCTGGGGCAGCCTGTCGCTTAACCTCTCAGTCCAAATAGGTTCAGAGCAGCTTAGAGCATTTGGAAGCAGATGACTTGCTTCCGGGGAGTAGACAGGAAGACAAAAGTCATTGAAGAAATGGACACTGCTTGTCGATTCTGTGTAAATATGAGAAGAAATGTTTAAGTGGACATCTTTAGTCTTTAAAGGTACGCCTGGGAGAGGTGGCAGTTACTCTTCAAAAGAGCTGTTGGTTGTCAACTCTTGCCTGCGTTTGAAGAATTTGGGGAAGCCACACCATTTTGTATTTTTTTTCACTCCCAGATTTTCCCGTCATTCACATTCACTGCTTGAACAGTAGTGATAGAGAATGGGTGATGCTTTTTTCCTTCATTATTGAGGTGAAATTCGCATAACATAAAATTAACCTTTTTTTTTAAATTGTGGTGAATACATACACGCCAAAACATTCGCCAGTGCACCTTCCATATTTACAATTTAATGACATTGATTACATTTTTTCATGTGCCACCATTATCAGTATCCTTTTCCAAAAGATTCCACCACCATTAACAAACTCAATGCTCCCCAAACAGAAACTCCCTCTTTTCCCCTCTCTCCCTCCCCTAGTAACCATTAATAATCTTTGGGTTCTATATACTTGCTTATTTTGTGACTGATTTATTTCGTTTAGCATAATTAACCATTTTAAAGTGAACAACTCAATGGCATTCACAATTTTGTACAACCATCACCTCCATCTAGTTCCAAAATATTTTCACCACCCCAAAAGGAAGCCCTGTACCTATTACGCAGTTATTCTGGATATTTCGTATAAATAGAATCCTACCATGTGTGACCTTTTGTGTCTGGCTTCTTTCACTTAGCAAATGTTTCAAAGTTCATCCATGTTGTAGCATGTATCAGTACTTCATTCCTTTTTATGGCTGAAGAGTATTCCATTGTATTTATATGCCACAATTTCTTTACCCTTTCACTCACTGATGGACATGTGTGTTGATTCCACCTGTTGGTTATTGTTACTTACGCTGTTATGAACACGTGTGTACATGCATTTGTTTGAGTACTTGCTTTCGGTTCTTTTCTGTGTATGACTAGGAATGGAACTGCTGGGTCATATGGTAATTCTATGTTTAACTTTTTTGAGGAACCATCAAACTTTTTCATTTCCTCAGCGACTAAACCATTTTACATTCCTACCAGAAATATATAAGGGCTCCAATTTCCCCACATCATCTGCCAACACTTGTTATTTCCCATTTTTTAAATTATAGCCATCCATCCTAGTGAGTGTGAAGTGGTATCTCATTGTGGTTATGGATTTGCATTTCCTTAATAACTAATGGATGGAGCCCTGGTGGCACAATGGTTAAGGGCTTGGCTGCTAACCAAAAGGTCAGCAGTTCAAATCCACCAGCTGCTCCTTGGAAACCATATGGGATGGGCAGTTCTACTCTGTCCTATAAGGTCACTATGAGAAGGAGTCCTGATGGCACAATGGTTAAAGGGATCGATTGCTAACTGAAAGGTCGGGGTTCAAAACCACCAGCAGCTCCATGGGAGAAAGATGTGGCAGTCTGCTTCGATAGAGATTTACAGCCTTGGAAACACTATGGGGTCACTATGAGTCAGAATCAACTCGATGGCAGTGGGTTTGTAATGCCTAATGATGTTAAGCATCTTTTCGTGTGCTTGTTGACCATTTGTATATCTTCTTTGGAGAAATGTATATTCAAGTCCTTTGCCCATTTTTTAATTGGGTTGTTTGTGTTTTTGTTATTGAGCTGTCAGAGTTATTTATTCTGGAGAAGGAAAAAAAAAAGAAAACGAAAACCCCTCTCCTGGTCTTTACAGGAGGATCCATGGTGGCGCAGAGGTTAAAGTGCTCAACTGATAACCAAAAGGTCAGCGGTTTAAACTCACCAGCTACTCCATGGGAGAAAAGACCTGGTGATCTGCTCAGCTTCCGTAAAGATTACAGCCTTGGAAACCCTTTGCGGCAGTTCTTCTCTGTCCTATAGGGTCACTATGAGTTGGGTTCACCTGGGGGCAGGTGACTAGAAGGCATACAACAACAACAAGAAGTCTTTGCAGATTGGCTGTGTGCTGGGGCACTCCCTCAACGCTGAGCCCAGCCCTCACTTTCTCCTTGCGCTGAGACTAGGGATCGGCCAGAGGTGAAAGTTTGGGGTCTTCTCAGGTCTTTTCTGAGCATATGTCCTGCCCTGGGCATGCAGGTTGCTTTCTAAATTCCCAAATATACAAGGTGCTTTGAAAGCTCTAATTACCCAAAGAAACTCTCTCCTTAGCTTTTCTTCGCAGGCTTTTGGTGTGTCCGTCTTTTGCCCCAGTTGTTATCTTTTGCCCCAGGAGGCTAAGGTCCTTGCCTCAGTCCTTCAGGTAGCCCCAGACAGGTTGGAACAGACAAAAACAGTTCTTGGAGAACTGCTTTGCTCCCTCTAGAACGCAGGACCAGGGTCCCACACCTGGAATGCAGGCTGTTGTCTCCAAGACCACCCCAAGCCCTGAAGAAGGATGGGCCAAGGTCAAGTGAAGATGCTAAGAAGCTTCCCCACTGTTTTTAAGCTACCTTTTTCATCTGTTTATTTATTTATAATTTATTTGTTGCTTTTGTTGTTGAGAATATACATAGCAAAACATACACCAATTCAACAGTTTCTACATGTACAGTTCAGTGACATTGATTACATTCTTCGAGTTGTGCAACCATTCTCACCCTTCTTTTCTGAATTGTTCCTCCCCATTAATATTAACTCACTGCCCCCTAAGGTTCCTATCTAATCTTTCTTTCCAGTTGCTGTTGTCAATTTGATACCATATAGGTAAATCTTGAAAGCACAATTCTCAAGGCAGACATTCTTTACTAGTTAAACTATGGTTTGGTTTAAAGAAGACTTCAGGGGTTATTTTTGGTTCCAGGTTTAAAGATTACCTGAGGCCAGTAGTTTCAGGGGTTCATCCAGCCTCCGTGGCTCCAGAGGTGCCTTTTGCTTGAGTCAGCATTCTCTTGGCAGCTTTGATTGTTTCCAAAGTTCTGATGAACTTGATTCTAACAGTATTTGCTTGATTTTTTGATGTGTCTATGGAGGGGCATACCTTGGAGCTTCCTAATCCACTATTTCTGCTGACATCTGGGGTTCAAATGGGTGGTTCTTGTCCCTTGATAAACAAAAAAGAAACTCTCCTCCTCCCCAATTATTCACAGACATTTACTGAGCACCTGGCACGGTGAATAAAAGACACAGTCCACGTCCCCAAGGAGCTAGCATGCCCCTGAAGGAGCCGGACAAAACACAAGTAAGGTCAGCACTAAGATTCACTCAGGTAGTGATAGGTGCTTAGAAGGAAGTGCTAGGTCGTAGAGGGTAGTCAAAACCAAAAACCTGTTGCCACTGAGTTGATTCCAACTAAGTTATCTAGTGCTGCTATAACAGAAATACCACAAGTGGATGGCTTTAACAAAGAGAAATTTATTCTCCCACAGTCTAGTAGGCTGGAAGTCCAAATTCAGGGCACCAGCTCCAGGGGAAGGCTTTCTGTTCCTGTCAGCTCTGGGGGAAGGTGCTTGTCATCAATCTTCCTCTGGTCTGACATCTTCTCTATGCAGGAACCCCGGGTCCAAAGGACACACACTGCTCCTGGCACTGCTTTCTTGGTGGTGTGAAGTCCCCATCTCTCTTTGCTTGCTTCTTTCTTTTATATCTCAAAAGAGATTGGCTTAAGACACCATCTAATCTTGTATATCTCATCAATATAACTGCCGCTAATCCATCTCATTAACATCATAGCTATAGATTTACAACACACAGGGAAATCACATCAGATGACAAAATGGTAGACAGTCATACAATACTGGAAATCATGACCCAGCCAAGTTGACAGATATTTTTGGTGAACACAATTCAATCCATGACATCAACTCCTAGCGACTCTATAGGACAGAGTAGAACTGCCCCATAGGGTTTCCAAGGAGTGACCAGTGGATTCGAACTGCCAACCTTTTGGTTAGCAGCCAGGCTCTTTATACTGTGCCACCAGGGCTCTGTAGAGGGCAGCTAATTTAGCCTGGGTGGACTCAAGGAAGATTTCTCTGAGAAAGTGGCATTTCAGCTGAGACTTGAAGTGGGAAGGAGAGGAGATAAACAACAGTCCCAGCAGTCAGAAGGCACTCAGTTCC